TTGATTTTCCCCCAGGCCTCGATCTCCCCCCGTCCCCCGTCGTAAACCACAGGAGCTTTTTTTTTTTTGGACAGGCAGGAATTTGCCTCCCGATGCTCCTTCCATCCCAGAACCCCCCAATGTGGGCTGGCTTGCAGCATTAAAAATATTAAACACTTCCTATTATTCCGTATTATTACCTTAATTCAGCTTGCAGAATTAAAAATATTTTAGAAAATATTAAGAAGTCATTTAAATCCTGAGAAACTCAGAGCGTGTGGACTGTTTATTCTTAATCTACCTGAAGTTTATGGGCAAAACGGCAAAGTTGTGCTTTGCTTCAATTCTTTCTTGCAAAGTAAGGGGAGAGTTGTGTTAGTCCATGTGTGGTCGCAAAAAATCCGAGGGCATCTGAGGGAGGGAACTACATTGCGAACGAGATCCATCCCTAAGTCTGTCTTTAAGTCAAATTTATAGGTATGTAGTTAGGCATTTCGCGTTAGTTAGCCAAATGTGTGTGTGAGTATATCGTATATAAAATGGCGGACGGCGATCTCCTTCCTCGAGCTGACAAACCGCTGAAGCTGCGCGACGTTTTCATGAGCGTCACAAAGTAGTACGTGTGTCCCCAGTGAGGGCTGCGAATTTCCACCACCCGTGTTTGGTTTATTCGCTTGTTTATTTGATTTGTGAAGGCTGCTCAACTCCAAAAAGACTCTGGGTGACTTAGAACATATCCAATATATTACGTTTTAAAAATACAGCTAAAACAACATGACAGCCTTCCCCAAGATCACACATACTGTATTTTGTTTCTTCGAGCCTCCTCTGATGGTGTTTCCAAATTGTAACTTGCCTTGGTTTTATAGTAGCTTTTATGACTTGCTCTTGAGTGAAGCTAGATAAGATTTCTTGGAGGAGGAGGAGGTGAATTAGCTGTCCCTTCCTTCAAGAAGGAAGGACACACTGAGGTTCTTGTTGAGATGGAAGAATAGAAAGTTGGAAATTTCTTGGAGAATTAGTGTTGGAAAACAACAGCCTGATACAACTTTGGGAGAAATTGGGTTAGTGTGTTTTACTTCTGTTGTGAAATAGTTCTAGCATTAAAGCTGTGTGGCTCAAACCATTTTGAAAACAAATATGAAAATAATTTATAACTATGTAATTGTAACATGTAGGAGTCAAGCTATGCAAAGGGGAAGCCCTCCCCCCCCAATCTTTGGAGGGGAAAAATGGGAACTTCTGGCTTGGGCTCAGCATGTTTGCGTCCAGGGTTGGAGATTTGGGGCCAGTGCTGGCTTCTGGGTCTGAGTTGGCAGTGAGTAGTCAGGAAAGAGGTCTTGGGGTTTGCTAGTTGTTTGCTCAGAGAAAATATTGATGCAGCAAGTTTTCAAAAGGCATCCAAAAATGTTGGGAGTATCTTAATGATTAAATAGGCCAGGTTGGTGGTAGAAGAAAAGGACCTTTGGGTGGTGACCATGAAACGAACCACTTGCTTGGACACAGATGGTCCCCAGCTGATGAGCCGTTTCTGACTTGAGGCAGATTCACCTTTGTTGGGACGCCCAACCTGCAGATTCCAGACCTTCTCAATATTCAACCTCGCAAGGGAAAGTAACCATTCTGGGTCATGTACAGAGTCAGATTCTGCCCCCCCCCCCCAATTTCTCTCCTCCTGTTAGAGAGAAACTCTGATCATTTTAGATTCTGAAAACGCCACAGAGCAG